ACAATTGTAGTTGATGGTTAATTGTATGGTCGAAAAAAATATGGGCAACAGAAGGTTAAGCTCAAAGCGCATGGGCAAATCGGAGCGCAGCGCAACCAGCTGATCGGTGAATACGATGATACATCTTTGTGTACATATATTTGATTCTGTTAAAAATCTTTTCTTTTAGGTTGCTTCTGTTTCAGCTAGTAATTGAGCGGGGTGTAGGTAGAATCAAAGATGATAAGCATTCACCAGACTGACACGGTCATAAACATATTGATCGGAGCTAAAGCGTAATGTGAAACAGAAAGTAAAAAAACTCAGCAGGTGCGCATGTCAGTTTGGCTGTGCTTATCTGTGCCAAAATAAGAAAATATACTCAAAACAAAAGGTTAAAAACTTACATGTATTCCTCGATGAAAGGCCTTCCAGCGGAGAGTTTGCAGCAAATTTTATTTAATTTTTTTTTCATTTGTTTTCTTTTGTCTTCTGTGGGGCTTTAAATTGTTTTGATTATATTATTATGGCACAGGAGGGTTTTTAAATTGTGAGTACTAAGAAGATACTCTCCGAAAATAAGTGGGAAAAAAAATATAAAAAAAATTCTGAAATGACTTTGGACTCTACAAGAAGGGGGATAGATTTATACTAGTATTCCTTTCTATATATATAAAGCTATGTATATAGATGTCAATTTTTCTTTTTCACTGCACTTGCACGCGGTTTTTTGAGGGCCTAATAAATGCACTTTTCACAAACTTTTGGAAGTCTCTCACAAGATTTAGTTAACAATTTTTTTACTAAAAACATTTAACAGCAATTTTCATGCATCTGCACGCTCCGGCCAACTTAATTGGCGATGTCATCTGGGCTTCTGATCAGCGGCGCGTCAATGGGGCCCAGAAGGCTACTGCCTCTTCCGGATTCCAAACTGTGGAAACGGCGCCTGCCCTTGCTGGCATGAGCAAGGGTATGGCAGCTGATCCGCCGTTGAGGCTGACGTCTATTTAATGGGGGCAGAAATGTCATTGCCGTCCCAAGAAATTACAGTGCCGTCCAATTGGCACACGTGGCGGCTGCCTCAAAATAAGTGGGTTTTTCTGTCAGAGACGGCGGCGGCAAGATTTATTCCTCCAAAAATTACTTTCGGCAGGCAAGCAAGAACTGGTTAAAACTGTGACCAGATCTTGGCACAAAGAAATATATGCCGGTGAGGTGCTGGTGGCCGGGTGGCGGAGCGAAAGGTTATCATCAAATGAACAAAAAAAATTTATTTCGCCAATCGGTTACTTTTAGGGTTTTTCTTTTTATTTTTTTGTTGTTTTTGGTTCAATTTAGTTGGAATTTAAATTAAACGAATTAAACGACTGATGCCCGAACTTGTTGCTTTTAGATTAATATTTTGGTGGGGCTATGTCCGCACCGCCGTAGCCAGACCTTCGATGGTAAAGTAACTTTTGAAAAAAAAAGGGTTATATCCGGGACCTGCAGGCTTATATAGGGTCTCAGAGCTTTTTTCTTTCCCGGATTAGAGGGAAGATAGCTGCGCTGCCAACGTGCACGCAGGCGGTTTATAGCAGCGGCTGACTCATTCGCAGCTGACCATGACAGACAAAAGCTGATCGCTATAGCGTCGTTACACAAACGCAAGCTGTTAGGATCGCTTACGCGGTTTAATTTAAATAGGAAAACTGCGACCATTACATTATTTTTTATTTGAGTGCGCCTAAGTAACAGGAATAAACAAGCAGTAGTACAAAGTGCTATTCCCAATATATACTTCAAAATATTGCAGTTTTTTCTTAACGAACATTGAAATGCAACCTGCTGCACTGCAAGTTGTTGTGCATGTGTCTATCTGTGTGCGTGTGTGTGAATGCAACATTGAATTATCTGGTGCTTGGTATAAAATGTTTGCCAATTGCTATTGCGAGTGTAAGTGCAAAATGAAAATTCGATTGCAAGCCCGAAATATTTATTAAATTGTCGACTGCAAATTATGTATGCAATTTAAACGAAATTATTCATGTGAGAAGATTTTTCAAATATTTATGTGCTATATGCAGTTGTATATAGCCCAATGCCAGCATGCTTGTGGCCAATTTTCGGCATTTTTGTTTGTGCCAGCACAAAGCAAAAATTGCAAATTTAATTAAATCTATGCAATTGCACGACTATATTTAATATTTACATTTTGTGACAATTTTACGCGTCAATTTTCTTGTTGGGTCCAACGCCTTTTGTCTCGTATTTTTATTTCTCTGTGCACGAGCTATGAGTTTTGTTTTTCTTTTTCAGATTTTTTATAAATGCTGCATGAAGCGCACTTCCTGCTTCCTGTGGGCGAACCGAATCTCGTGGCTATGCTGGTGAAAACAAACGGAAATAAAGATATTTGGGTGGCCAAACTCAAAGTTGAGCTTTGATGTTACCAGTGCCAGAAACAGAAGATGAAGAAGCTTTGAGCTGTTTTGCCAAAAATTGTCAATTCCCTGAGCTCTGCAAATAGCCAAAATATGTGTTATATATTATATAAGCTCGTTCATTGTTCAGTTTGGTGCCTTGATTTAAGCAGGTTTTTAAAATATTTGTTTAAAAACATTTTTTTTTTATATTTATTCTTAAAATACATATTGGCATTATTCTAATTTATCTTTTCTATAATATTCTATAGTATAGGAAAACGTAGCTTTTAAACAAAAAACATTTTGAATGCTTACCTAATATAATTTAAAATAATTTTGTTATAAATTTACCTATGTTAAATGTAAACTAAATTTATTCGGGAAGGAATACATTTTGTTAGCGTGCTTCGGTAGCTGCAAAATAATTTCAGGCACTTAGTCAAGTGGCAGTCAGTTGACATTCGATTAGCCTCCACTTTATGCAGCCGTTGTGTACTTAAGATCTGCTATCACTTTTGCATGGAATAGGCAAACAAGATCTGGTATAGGGCGCTAGGTTTATATCGACGTTATGCAAATGTGAGCCCAAACTTACATGGATGGTGTAGCCGTGGCTTAGCACCTGCTTGCCCCGTATATACTGTACCTGTCAGTGCCTTGCCGTTGGCTTTCAGTGTCTTTTATATGTGGCACATTCAATTACCTGCATTTCCGTTAACTGTCACCTTCGCACTGCAATTTTTCACGCAACTTAAATATTTATAAGGTTTATTAATGCGCATGTGGAGTTGGAGGCCGAAAGAAAACATTTATAATTATTTATTATAGCAAAAAGAGAAACAGTTTTTGTGTCTGCAAGCCTTTGTCTTGCTGCTCGTGTGTATGGGTGTGTGACTGTGGGCGAGTGTGGGCAAGTGTGCATATGTTGCCAGTTGTTGCAGAGTGGCAAACGAAAGCGAAACGAAACTGTCGCGGGAATAGCAATAAATCATTTATGCAGCAGCCTTGCACTTACAGTGTGAGTACACTCGCACAGCCACACGCACATGTGTACAAAGTGGCATAAATCAACTTACACACTCATGCCCAAATGCACTCATACTCTCACCCACTCATGCATTGGCAGAGCCAGACACACACAAACAGGGACGTGCCCGCAGTCATATGCAGAACTTGCGCGAGTTTTCCCAAAGGAAAATGCTGCAGAAAAACTGCAAACTTACGCGCTTCGCTTCGTCGCCTCGTCATCTCTAGCCAGTGATCCACACCCCACTTCCTTGCCCCACTCACCTTTCGTTGTGAGTGCACGTCAGTGCCTCATGTGTCTCTTGATAAGCACACTTGAAGCTGCAGCATCACCAACAGCAGCAACTGCTGCTGTGGCAAAAGAAAAGGCGCTGTTCAAATCGACTGCGAGCGCAGTGTGCAAAAGTTTCTTTTTTTTCTGTGTCTTTTTTGAGACATGCCAAACACTTTATTGACAATTGCCAAAGTGTGTTGAGCAGTGTAAGTTTTCTCATTGAATTTAATTTATTTTCTGTATAAGAAACAGAATCGTATTTAACTGAAATTTTCATGCTCATGTTTTTGCATATTCTGTAGTAAATATAATATTGTGTATTTCTAGTCTAAATGACAATATTCAAACAATATTAATTGTTAAAATTTGGGAAATTTATCTACGATATATAACAGCTTTAAAATTATTCTCAAAGAATACGTCATATAACTAGATTATAAATATTTATACGTTTATTTCATATACCGCACGTCGCACCAATTATCATCATGTTGCATTTTGAGGGCTTCGCGCTGCAGGGGTTTTTTTTGGCGTGCTTTTATACAACTTCCGTCGATTTAAGAAATTATAATTGCTCCGTTCCCGTAACCAGCTTCAACGAGCGCCAACCAAAAAGCAGGCAACGGCCACACCTCTTCATGTTTGGGGGCGCTGCATAGAGGAGTCGTGTAACGTTCACAATGCGCTTCCGCCTCGTTGTTGTTTTGCATGTTGACATGGCACAAGAAACGTGGCAGACGCGGCCGCGTTACTCATACGTCGCGTGGGCGGGCGTGTTGACAATACATGGCCATATTTTTCTTTTTGCCGCTAATGTGGCACGCCCCAAACCTACATTTGCACACACGTATGTAAAGCGCGTAAAGTTGAAATGACAATCGAAAGCCGGGCCAACAATGGCAGCCAGAGGCAAAACCGGAGCCAGTCAAGTGTGTGGGTGTTGCAGCTGCTGCATTTGTGCGCCTTTTCTTTTCACATAACAACAACAACAACAACAGCAACAACAACAACGACGGCAACAGCAGCAATGCAACGTGACAACTTCCGTTGCATGCGCTGCCGGCACAAAGAAAAACAGCGTAAAACTGTAACGGAATTGTATTGTGAAAAGCAAAATGTTTTTTCCTGGCACACGGCAAACAACAACTGTATGCAGCAACAACAACCCAAGGAACACAGTAACACATTTGAAAACAAAAAGCCTTCTGGCTGATATCAGCACACATCTATTAATATTATTGTATAACGAGTGTATCGCATGCTATTTCTAACTATTATATAGGAAATGCACAGTTATCGCAAATCAATTAAAGCCGCACGCCAACGCAATTAATTTGATTTATACGCCCCGTGGTATACAGTGCAATTTCATTTAATTATGCAAATCATCGCGGCCAGCTTATTAGTTTAATTCATTTGACGGTTGTTTTTATAGCCACATTTCAATTTATTAGTTTTCGTATGTGGAAAAAAGCTAAGTGAAAGTAACAAACAATTTGATAGTTGATACTTTCTGATTACACATCTGATTAAATGTTGGAAATGATATGCAAGTTACGCATATTAGATACAAATCTGACAGACGGACAGATATTTACTGTCTACCCGGCGCTACATTAAGATATTCGGTTGTGACAAAGTTTTGTATCAAACATAGCAACATTTTAAAGGAGTAAATGCACAAATCTTTCTCCAAATTATTCACTTGGCTACACTCGTAGAGAACTGCAATATTTTGACCCCTTAGATGTTCTAACTTCTGAAACAGTTCAATATCTAGGAGGCCATTGTCATTCAAAATGTTCATTTCGGCAGCTGCGCAACGCACATAGCACATATATTTCCTTTCAACATTTTCCAAATGTCCTTCGTCCTTTGCCTGATCTATTTTGGATAATAACTCGGGCCTGGTGGCATTATTTTCAGCCAGGCATTTCTCTTCCACGTTAAGGGGTACGCTTAAGCTCTATAATGTAAGCGAAATATATATAATGTAATATGCCTAAACAGATTGTAACTTACTTGTACATAAGCCAGCATAAATGCAATAACTATTAGTACATTTAAAGTTAAGTTTAGGGCTAACATTTTATTGCTGATTTTCATTGGTTATTTTAGAGCTTAGTACCTTTTATTGTTGAAGTTAAAAACTGTGTTTTGAATTGAAAACTGATCTCGAACACTTCGCTCGGATGAAAACATTTGACAGTTCATCTACATTGGTCATTGGCTTTTATAGAGTCATGATTTAACAAGCCAGAACTATGAATGACGCTGTTGAATTAACAGTTGCGTAAGATATACATTTAATTATGTTTAATAACTCTTTAATGAGTAAACGATTATCCAACTAAGTATTATCTGTGTATCAATAAATCTACCTATTTCAGTTTTTAGAATTCCAGTTATTAAAAAGAGAGTTGCACAATTCCCTTTGTATTAAATGAAGTGCGCAAAATATTGACATGAAGTTTATTTTTTCTAGTATATATGATTGCAAATATATTATTATTATTATTGTGTCCAGGTCGGGTTTTAAGCCATGTGTACAATTTTGAAAATTTTCCATAAATATAATACTATAAAATTAGTACAAAATGTTATATATGATCTCAATATGCTGATCAAAATAATAAAAGAAAAACAAAACAAAAAAGAAAAATTAACAAATGAAAGGTACTGATATTTACATCAGTAAATCAATAACAAAGTTTGATTTTTATTTCCAAACAATATATAATTGTTGGTTTTTTATATATAACTTAAGTTTTAAGGGCTTTATATAAGGGTTCAGAATGTAATGTTCTAAATTTGAATTTGAACTTCCTTAGAAGAAAAGTGTGACTAAAAAAAAAAAATAAATATAAATTACAGCGATTGACATCTATCGATTGAATTAGACACATATGGGTAAATGTAACGGTTACACAGAGTAACAAAAGAAAGAAAAAGGGAAAGGTAGAGAAAAGAGAAATGTGTTTAGGATCGAAAAAAAAAAACAAAATTCAAACCATTTAAATACATTTTTTAATTATTATGTAAGTCATTTCCAATAAACCATCAGAAGTAAAATTTTTGTTTTTGGACGCCGGACTGTACAATATATTTTATTTTAATGATTTAATATTTGCTTTCACTTTGTATTTAGCACAGATAGGAATAAATATTTTCATTCAATATTTTAACTACAAATCAATTTACTTTTGTTCTATACAATTTAAAAACGTGTGTACAAATCATTTTCAATACAAATTCGTAGACAATTATGTTCATTTATCTACTTGTTTTCGAATGAAAATATTAAAAAAGTATGATACATGTTTATTTATATTGTTGTTTATAATTTAAGATTTAGCTATGATTTAGCTATTTTTTAATTTGTGTGAGCTTCTAATTTTATTGCGCGAGTTCGCCGTGCTGCATGTTGCTTGTGAAGTTCGTCTACTTTTCTAAAGTTGAAGTTTTGTTATTTGTTATCAATCACAGGATGAATAATGGCTTCAGCTGCCTTATTTGGGGCAATCACAAGATGCAAGTCCATGCTGCCCTGCTGATTGAGTTATTTGTGCAGTTGCCAGTCTTGTATTCAGGCAGGTTTCGTTCCCAGAAGCCTCGAACAGTTCGTGAACATTCTCCGTAATATTATGAACCTTAAGACAGTATTCAAAGAAGTCAAACGGATCGCGATACGGCATTGTATCAGTATATTTAGGAATGTATGCCTTTGATTATTTGTACTGTATGCTAGCCAAAACCAAAACAAATAACATCAGCAGCAGCACGGATTTCATTATAGGCTGCGGTTTGATAATAGCAAGAACCTTTTCTAAATAGTTTATTCCCATTCGAATTTTAAAGCTCAACATTTGATTTATTACGAGTATCTATAAAAGGGGCAGTCCACCCTGTTTATTGCATATTCTAACTCTCTGATTCTTAGCACAAATTTTACTGTTTTACTGCTCAGCTATAAAGCACGTTATAATATTGGAGACATATTCGCAGGAATCTGATTCTCCATGGTACAGCTTCTTGCACTTGCGGAAAGTAATGCGATCGGTGTCCCGTAGCTCCCCCAATCTTTCCACTTGCTTCATATTGAGGTATCCGTCGGAGCCCAGTACACCCATTTCGTTAACTACACAATGCATAAAGCACTTGAATTTCCTTTCAATGTTTCCAATTTCTCTGTCCACGGTACCATGTTTTATTAGCTTTTCATACTGATTTTTGGTAATGTTGTTCTTATCCAAACATTTATTAATAATTTCATCCTGAGAGTTACTCTGTTGAATTCATATTATTTTAAGTAACCAGAACTTTAAAACATCTTGTAAACTCTTGAGTTACCTGTACGACAATGAATAGAAAACCAAGAAAAATGATTGAATATGCGTTTTTCGTGCAGTCAAACATTGTCTTAATTCTGCTTTCAATAAGTAACTGAACTTAACGAAAATATCTCGACTGTCTTATTATTCATTTTTAAATCGAGTTATATATTTGTTCTATTTATTTCTAATGTGCATTAAATATATTGCATGCTTGTAATTAATACGCTCTTTTTATTTACCATATACAAATAGTATATGCATTGTTTTTTTAGAGCATCTAGACTTGTTTGTTGCGTCACGGATTTGTGGCACTCGCGTGTCTAATTGGGCTTTAATTCAGCAAGAATCAGTACAAACTGATCACAATATACATTAAGTTCGTTAAGTAACTTATATGGAACGCCTTCAATCGATGTCAGACATGTCTGTCTATAAAAGTATTTGTTTCTATGCAAACTAGTCTCTTAGAATTAACATTGGTCCGCCTATCTGTTGCAGACAGTAAATTTGTCGGAGTTTGGCGGATTGCTATATGAAATAGCTATCACAGGACTGATTGGTAGTAAATTTAGCTTTTGTAAGAAAACTGGTATAACCTTGTCCGTCTGCTTGTACCTATGCAAACTAGTGTGTCAGTTTCAAAGCTTTTGTCATAAAATTTAACAGAGATACGTCTTGCTCTTACAGGTAGTACATATGTCAAAGTTGGCAGATCGGTGAACTATATATCATAGGATTAATTAGTCGTTAATTGGATTACTTATTCCACTATGCCTTTATACTGATGTATATATATATATATATATATGCTTGTACTCAAAATATAAGTAATTGTATTGAGAAATATATTGTTTTCCTCAAAGTTTTCAACACTTGTCTTCAAAATCAAAGCCCTGTGTCCTCGAACGTATTTCATCTTCTTTTTCCATCCATAGTAATGAGAGGTAATTGACTGTATGAATACAATTATGTTCAGTTAAATGCCTTTATAGTTTCTGCCTGACTTGTTTTTAAGTTGTTGACAATTTTTATGCTTAAGTATTTTTATTAAAGTTCTAGTTTGCCGTCAACTTAGTACCAAATGCAAACCTGGCACAATAACAACAGCGAAGAGAGCACGCGCCAAAAACTCACGTAAATTTCATTTTATACGCAGTGAAATTCGCATAACATTTCCTGTCAACATATTTTGCCACACTTTGCAGCAAAAATGAAGCGACAATGCAGCAGCAGTAGCAGCAGCAGCAGCAAGGCCATTATATCGCACACACACACAAACACACAGCGACAAATTGGTCTGACAGCATCGGATGGGGCATTTCTAACTATGCGACCTCAACACCAGTAACCAACACCAACAACAGGCACCGCACCCTCTGTTTCTTCCAACCGAAAACTCGCAACAACAAATGAAAATTCCAAGAATATTCGCATTCGCAGTGAGTTTTGGCTTTTGCGGCTGCCAGTCGCTGTTTACTTGGCTTCCCCGGTTATTTACGGCCTGCAAATTTTTTGCCATCCTATTTGGTTTCTATATACCAATTTTTTGTTTCTTTTCTTTTTTATTATTCTTTTTTTTTTTTGGTTCATTGTTTGTTGCTGGCTCGTTGCCAAAAGGGAAATATGTGTTGTGAAAATTGCACATTTTTATAGCCATCGCTAGGTGCTAAACTATGGGTATCTGCTCCTTTCCTCCCACTCCGATTCCGACCTTTTTAATTGCGCTGCAATTTTTTAGTATTGATTTTTGATTTGTTATTAAAATAAGGGAATTTTCAACGAATTTCGTGTAATTTGATTATGGTTCCTCGTTTTCGCCACGCTATTCGCTAATTAGGCCCATGAAGCTGCGACGTGTATGGCTCGTTTCGCTTGTTACATAATTTATTTTTCATATGTAGCAAAGCCGCACAATTTGCAAATATTTTGTAGTCGTGTTAATAAGTAAGCAAATTAGTTATCACGAATGTGTGATGCTCTTTCCAGTTATACAGACATTTTTGCGGCGATGCCGTTGAGGCCTTAAACGAGGCCTTAAACTCTTTGTAAGAGGATGATAACGTTTTTTTTTTTTTTATATCTGGTTTTATTACGCGACCCTCCTATCCTACCACATTGTTAAACACATTTTTATACCCTGAACCCATTAAAAATGGGTACAAGGGTATATTGTATTTGTGCAAAATCCAAATGTATGTAACAGGCAGAAGGAAGCTTCTCCGACCCCATAAAGTATATATATTCTTGATCAGCATCAATAGTCGAGTCGATCTAGCCATGTCCGTCTGTCTGTCCGTCCGTCCGTCCGTATGTATGAACGCAAGGATCTCAGAAACTATAAGAGCTAGAGAAATTTTAGATCTAGATGCTCCTAGTTTCCGCGCAGATCGAGTTTGTTTCCGATAATCGATAACTTACTCCGTTTCCAAGCAATCGATAAAAATCGATTTCGATATCCTGTTTTTTGGGCAATTTTGGCAAATAACAAGAGCTAGACTCACCTAACTTGAAATATTGCTTCTAAAATAGAATATATATATACATTTGATGTTGGAAGAAGAGGGTTCAGGGTATCCCCTAGTCGGGAGCTCCCGACTAGAACCTCTTACTTGTTTGTTTATATAAGCTTAAAGTAATTGATATATGGCGTTTTACACAATGTTACATATTTATTCATTAAAACCAACAACCTCAAGTTTCATAAATTGAATTCAAAAATAACATGGTTAACACAGCTATCAATAATTCTATGCTCGTCAAATACAAATAACATATATTGATTCTTTGTGAAATAATTCCAATGCATATAGACCTAAATTATAAAGTTATGGCTTTATATATATCCGAAGCAAATATATTACTCAGCATAATTAATAAAAGCTGATTGTATTTCGAAAATTTCTACGGAATAATAATAATACATGTCAACTTCTTAGCAAAGGCATTACATTAAATAGAGAAAACACTAAATTGTGACAGTCTTAACTGAAAGCCAAATATTTCGATTTATTATAACAGTGCTTGTCATAAGTATATTGATGCAGTTAAGTAAAACTGAAACATATGTTGCCGGTGTGTTAGAACAATTTATATAAAACCCCATTGAAAGTTCATCCACATACCTGTTACACACACACATTCATACTAATACACACAATATACAAGCTTGAACCCATATTTCATAGATTATAATATCATGGGGAGTGGGAAAGTTTTCCAGTCAGTTTCTTGAAGGTTAAGCAACACAAACAATGTGGCCTCCTGACAGCTCTTGCCATTTATTAAACATGTCAGAGGTGGAGCTGGAGCTTTTCAAGCAGCTTGTCGCTTGGGTGCCACCTTTGCGATTTTCTACTCTATCCAGGACTTGAAAACTTGCTATGCGGAGAATAAAAGTAATGTGTGTAAAACTTTGGATGCTTTGCGTAATAAAAATAAATAGCACGCGGCTTGGGCATGCATGGCACGTATTTTGCATGCACTTTGATGCCACACCCATCAACGCACCAAGCTCCACCGCCCACCATTCACCCCGCACCAACAGCGTCGCAGAACAAAACGCCCACAAAATATGCATACATTGTTGGCACGTGCATGCACACAAAGGAATTTCAAAAGACATTTTGGGATATGTGTGTAAGGGCTGAGCAACAGCTATTGCATGTGGAGCATCATCCGCTGAGATGCTGCAGCAGTGGATGCAATACATCCTGCCCCAAAATGGCTATTCAGTCAGCCAGACAGGGGTAAATGAAGCTAATAAATTTTCACAATGCCATATCCGAAGCCAATGCCAATGTTAAGCCCATATTAAAACAAAAGCCAGATTCTCGGATTTGTGTCTAAACAATTGCGGCACAAGTCGCTAAGCATTTTACATGGGCCAATTAGTGTAGTGTCTACTGCTGGACTTCACCACACCACACCACACCAAACGACTGGAAGCTCAGTTCACTGAAATACTTAGCTATCACATTGTTAGCTCGTCAAAACAAACGCTTGGCTTCTCAGTAACTGGCAACACACTCGTTCGAAAGCGATTGCCATAATCAGGCGCTGCAGCTTGCTGGAATGTTATAGGACGTGGAATCAGAAGGTTATGTCGTCTAGTTTCTTTGTAAAAAGTTAATGTTAGAGTATCTGCTAGTCGAGCTCTCTTACATGCATTAATTAAATGTAAAGTGTTAGCTGCTTCTGCCTTGCTTTAAGTTTTTGGCAGGGCAAATGGTCATCACTGGCATGGGCTGGGAGCTGTCAGCTAGTTTACTGGGGTCGGCAAGGGTGCCGGTAGCGGGTGCGAGACCCAAGCTAAGAGCTATGTCCGGTACGGACTTTGGTCATTTTTAACTTTCTGTGCGATTTGCACGGCTCGCTGCATTTTGTGACAATTTTTACTTCGCCTAATAGACATACCGAGGGTATTTTGGTGTTTAAAGAATATAATCAAACAAATATTTTAATAATTTCATTAGAAATCAAAAATAGAAAAAGGTTGAAATAGTAAAATTTATTTAATTATCTTGCTAAATTTTGTATAAAATATCTTGATTACAATTATAAAAAAAAATAGGAAGAGCTTGAATTTACATTATTATTTATAAAAGATTTTTATTGCTCTACTAATAAGACTTTTATTATTATGGCATTTTATGAAGTTTCCAAACCTTTCATGTTGAATATCTGAACGAGAGTATACCCGTTGAGTTCCTTGCAAGTTGCCAAATTCTTCGTTTCGCTCTATTATATTTTGGCTTGTAACTATGATGCTTAAAGTTCGAGCTAAGCTCTTGTGTGTGAATAGTTATAGTTTTGTTTGGATTTTATACCCTGTCTTTATTTAAAATGAACAAAAGAGGAATGTCAAAGGATTTAACCACTTTATTTATTTAAATATTTTTGTGTAGTTATATATAACTTTAAAAATTTAGGTTTTTTTTGCCTATAAATCATTTAACAGAATTTATAAGCTATTATTAATAAATGGTATACCCTTTAAAAGTGGGCATGGGGTATAATGAAAATAGGCAATTGTTTGAATTGACGAATTGACATGTTTCACTAATCTTTTTTCAGTCTGTATGAATGCGCAGAAGTCAAAGATTCTAGCTTGAAAAATGCAGAAGTCGTAGTTCCAATATTAATTTTTTACTGTAATTTAAATGCTTTTGCAAATCATATGTGTATGAAGGCAACTCTTATTTTTATATAGCGTATCTTAGAGTCGTATGCTTTTGTTTGGCGTGCTTCTACTTCATTTTATTTTGGGGGGTGACTGGGCCGTTAACTAAAAATAAACCGAGTGTTAAACGTGGCTTACACGTTGGTCATTTTTATTGCCAGCGTGTGCCGTCAGCCGTGAATAATCGAATTAGTTACGAAATTAAAAATTACAAAATAGAATAGATAAATCCGCCCACGGTTGGGCGAAGGTAAGCCTTTTGTTACCAAACGGCACAACTATTAACTAGCCTAGGAATTTTCGGCACACAGCTTCACATAATTTATATTAAAAAGTCTGTCCATGTATGTGTCCAGTAAATTCCTATTTGTAAAGATTTACTGCTAATTGAATTACTAAGGAAGCTTCCAAATTAGTTAAGCAGATTTTCAAGCCTAATGTGTTGGAAGCTAGCTAACTGGAAAACTTGCTCCTAGCCACGTACCCGCATTCTCTGAGCCAAAAAGGTTTGAAAGGTGCGCCAAGTGATGGGTGTGTTCGAAATTGGTTTAATTTGATATGCCCATCTAAGATTTTTACGGATACTTGAACAGGACAGTTGGCCTCACAACTTTAAGCTCATTTTATAAATAATGTTAACCTTAAAGGATGCTTAGGTACACGTTACGTGTACACATAAATTATTTATTGATGCTGTCGTAGCTCTGATTTTTGCTAGCTTTTGATAAGCACGATTGCCAATTGGCACCAGCGATAGTTTCTTGAACATGCTTGAACTACTCATTTTGAATTAAAATTATTCAAAAATCGCTTATCTTTTTCTTTGTTTTCTTACAGATTAATAGAATAAAGATAAAACTGTTACATATATCCATATCTATTCAACGAAGTTACTTTATAGAGCCGAAGGCCTTAGCAGTGCTAGATTGAAACTAAGGTGCACGAAAGGGGGAATCCGGGATTCCTGTAAATGTGCATTCAAACAGATTATACATTGCTTAAAAAACAAGCAAGCTTTTCGTGTTGGACATCGATCGGTTTCTTTGAAGTGTCTATCTGTGATCTAAGTGCGACGTAAAATTAACAAGAGGAATATTTTGATTGTGTTGGTTTCTTTTTTGTTTTATAACGTTTTTTATTTAAGGAAATGCATGCTCAACTGTATTAGAATCGAATGGCTTGGACGTTATTTCTTGCCTTCCTTCTTCACACGAATAATTGCGTTCTTCAGCAATTTGTTCGCTATATTTGTATTGCCTACTTTCAGGCTGAGGATTAAATGCGCTCCAATTCGCTTCATTTTTCGCCTGCTGCCTACTTTATTGAATTTCTTCCAGTCATATCTTTTATGCATCTCTCACTTTGAGCGGCAAGTGCTACAGACAGCTGCAATGGACGCCAGCTCATGCCCCTCCCCATTTCTCGATGTGCTCCAGCTCATACACATTCTCGTTCTCTTCGAGTGATGACCGGCAGCTGCTTGGGTTAAGGAGAACGTCGTGTAAACTTAAATCAAATCTTCAGGCATGGGGCGAGTGTTGAAATGAAATCAATTTCTTTTGTGCGGCATTTGAAAGGTTTCAAATGATTTTCAATTGTTGCTGTTGCTTGTTGCTTGCTGCCTGTTGCCCGTTGCCTGGTGGCCAAGCATTGACAATCTGCTCAAGCGTCTTATGTATTGACTTGGGCCCCCATATGAGACTCATAATCCGATTTCGGTGTTAAATGATTTTCCACGTATTGTGAGACCAAGTGAATGTTTTGTTCAGCTTTTGCTATGTGTGTGTGTTCTCTTGCTTATAAGATTCAACTTTAACCTTTTTAAACCTTTTGACTGCACCTGCAGGCGAGGCGACTCATTACTTGAGTGCTTAAATGGGCGTCTGTTGTT